CAGAGCAGGACTTACTTCAGCAGCATTTTGGTACCTGCTAATTCCGCATCTTGAGTGTGACACTGTGGAGGTGTTTCGGTGGTTCTTCAACATGGTCTGAAGCTGTCCACTGGGTGTGCTGTCCCAGGAGGGGACAAGGTCATGTGAAGGTCAGCCGCCACCTGTGTCTGACCAGTGCCACCTGGCTTGAGCTACAAAGTGATTTTCAGATGGCTGCTACTTGTGCTGGGCTTGGAGGTGCTCAGGAGAGGCCTACCTGCTAACCACAGCCATTGTTGCTAATGCTGGGCCTGGAGCCATTCAGCAAGAGGTGCAGGGCACACTTGGGCCAGATATGCTTGTTTGAGAGATTTTAGAAAAGTATGAAGCATGAGCAAAGACAGATCATTTGTATGGAAAAGCCACTGAAAATAGCTTCAGTGGGCCCAAAAGTTAGGTGGGGGAGACGGGGGGGGCGGGGAGGTCTCAGGAAATCACCAGGGAAGGGCAAACAGCAATAGCCAGGTTGATAGAGACTCAGATATGTTGCCCACCTGCTGAGATGGAGAGATTATCTAAGAACTGTGGCCTTTGCCTATACTTCTGTCTGGAAGAAAGCTGCTCCACTGCCCCCTGCTCCTGTCCTGATGCCTGGCAATTCAGTTCCTTCCTATATGACTCTAGTGCCTTTTGAGCTGCTACCCAAACACTGGAGCTCAGAGGAAACGAGTTAAAGTAAGTCTGTATATGGGCCCTTTAAGAGGAACTGCCTAGGACTCCAGCAGCCCTCTGTCTCACTCAGCCTCAATCCCCACAAGTTTTTACAGCCAGAAATTATGGAGATTTCTCTTCCCAGCACTGGAACCCTGGGCTTGAAAGCCTAGTGTGAGACTGATACCCCTCACTCCTCAGAGGAGACCTCTGCAGGGGAGATATATCTCCTGCTTTTTAACTACCACATGTGGGTGTGGGACCAACCTGTTCCATGTCTCTGCCCTTTCTACCAGTCTCAATGTGGCTTCTTTTTTAAAATCCCTAGTTGTAAGACTTATATTCAGCTAGATTTCAGGTGGTTCTTTTTTTTTTTTTTTTTAAATATATTTTATTGATTTTTTACAGAGAGGAAGGGAGAGGGATAGAGAGTCAGAAACATCGATGAGAGAGAAACATCGATCAGCTGCCTTCTGCACATCCCGCACTGGGGATGTGCCCGCAACCCAGGTACATGCCCTTGACTGGAATCGAACCTGGGACCTTTCAGTCCGCAGGCCGACGCTCTATCCACTGAGCCAAACCGGTTTCGGCTTCAGGTGGTTCTTAATGATGGTTGTTCTGTAGTTTAGTTGTAATTTTGATATGGTTATAGGAGGATGTGAGTACTGTGTGTATCTACCCTGTCATCTTGACTAGAAGTCTATCTAGCTTGGTAATTTTTAAAGTTTAATTTTTTAAAAATATATTTTATTGATTTTTCACAGAGAGGAAGGGAGGGGGATAGAAAGCCAGAAACATCGATGAGAGAGAAACATCGACCAGCTGCCTCCTGCACACTTCCCACTGGGGATGTGCCCACAACCAAGGTACATGCCCTTGACCGGAATCGAACCTGGGACCCTTGAGTCCACAGGCTGACGCTCTATCCACTGAGCCAAACCGGGTAGGGCTTTAAATTTTAATTTTACATTTTACTCCTCTTACCCCTACTTTAATATTGAGAAAATGAACATTTCTTCTGAAGACAACTGTTGTCATTAATTAAGGTACTGTGGTGCAATTACAAAGTAATAAATAGGTCTCTATAACGTTTTTTTTAAATCCTCCCCCAAGGATATTTTTTTTCCCATTGATTTTTAGAGGAGTGGAGGGAGGGAGAGGGGGAGAGTGGAACATCAATGTGATAGAGACACATCAATTGGTTGCCTCCCGCACACACCCTGACTGGCGCCAGAGAATGAACCTGCAACCCAGGTACATACCCTTGACCTGAAATTGAACACATGACCCTTGGTCCGTGGGCAGACGCTCTACCAATGAGCAACACCAGCCAGGACTAGCTTAACTTTTCTAATTATTTTTCAGCCTGTGGGTGTGGGAAAATTAAAACTTTGAGCAAATTATTTCAGCTTTTACCTTACTTCCCTATCCCTAGGTCTTCCCAGTAACCTATTAAAACAATCCCCACGCCATTTTATTTTATTTTTTTTAGTTTAGATTCTAATATTGACTCTGCCCATTTCCCAACTCTATTTCCCAATAACATCCCAACCCCTATATGATTACATCATGAAACTCTTCAAGGATTTTGTTTCAATTGCTCACCAAGACATCCTCCACCTTAGTAAAAAGATCACATGGATTTCTCTAATACTTTAGCATATCATCATTTGCTCAAGATGAGGATTTACTGTGTTTGTTTCCCACAGTTCCTCCACCCAATCTTATCCCTGGATTTTCACTGATTAGTACTTCAGGCTGGCCTGTGTTAGCTCATGTAGCTCCTCCTTCTGTACTGGGGCAAAAACTTGTATCACCATTGTAAAGGATGTCATTACTCTTTATCTGTGAAGAGTGGAACAAGAAGAAATCACTCGATTCAGATAATCTCAAGATTTCGAAAGGATTAGAGATCATTTCTCATTTCTACAGCACTTATGTCAGAGAGCATCCAGACAAAAGGTAGGGTGTAACTATTCTTTCTAATAGTTTGCTTGTGTTTTATAAACCTAAACTTCCAAATAGGTATGTTTTGGCTAGAAATTCACAATTATGTTTATTTATAATTAAGAAATTTATTTGGTTTGATTTTAGTAAAAAAAAAGTATAGTAAACATAGCTAAAAGAAGGCCGTCTTTTCAAAACTTCATTTTTAAGCTAACTTCTAAAATAAGAATTCTAAAATAACTTCCTACTTAGTTCCTTTCTTGAGAATTACAGAGCCATTATATTGACATTGAAATATTGTGTGTGTGTGTGTACTGGTTTATGTGTATGAACATAAACTAAGGCGTGTTTCTGTTTGAATAATATATGTTTATATATTGTTGCAAGAATATTTGTACTTCATGAACTTTTTTAGAGCTGAATCATTTCCTTTTTATTAAAAAAACATACCTAACACCTAAGAACAAGACAAAAAGCATTTCCCTTTAAATATTTAAACTACTCATTGTAAAAATAGTCTATTCAAGAATTATTTCTACCCCACCCAACTGAATAAACTAAGAAACAAGACTAACAACTTAGAGATATTATTAATGCTTTAACTTCTAGTTAGAAAAGACTATCATAATTTTAATATAATCTTGTTATTGCCCAGGACAGTGGTCGGCAAACTCATTAGTAAGCAGAGCCAAATATCAACAGTACAACGACTGAAATTTCTTTTGAGAGCCAAATTTTTTAAACTTAAACTATATAGGTAGGTACATTGTTATTAACTTAATTAGGGTACTCCTAAGGCTTAGGAAGAGCCACACTCCAGGGGCCAAAGAGCCGCATGTGGCTCGGGAGCCGCAGTTTGCCGACTACGGGCCTAGGAGATGATTACTGTATAAACTTGGTTTTCATTTCATTAATTTAGGATTTTTAGGTTTGATCTATAATTTTCTGATACTATTTTTATTTTCAAAAGTATTTTCAACATTTATCTTTCATAATTAAATCTACTAGCAATGATAAATAAAAGAAATAAGAAACAAATGTTTTATGTCATAAAGTTCATTGGAGTATCATATTGCTTTAAAGAAAAGTCAGTACGTATATATCAGATTTACTTTATGCAGAATATCTCATAATAAATGCCCAGATTTTTTTCCAAATCCAAAATAAAAAATACTGCATCAGGACATGAAAATTAAGATTCTAGATATATGCTTTCTTTATATTTCTGCCTAATTTTCTCTATCAAAACTGGTTTAGAGCTGTTTCACTCTTTTCTTCTCTTTCATGGTTAATAAGTATGGCAATTTAAAAATGTCTAAGGCAGTGTGTCTGATAGAACCTTCTATGAGGAAGCAATGTTCTATTATTTGTGCTAATTTGGTATCCATAAGCCACACATAGCTATTGAACACCTGAATTGTTCAATACAGCAACTGAACTAAATTAGTAATTTTATTTAATTTTAACTAATTTTAATTTACATAACTAAATTTATTTTAATTTTTTATATGTTATTAGTGGCTACTGTACTGAATAGTACATGTCTATGGCATTTAAATTATTGAGTATTTTCATTTACAAATACTTTTGAAATAGAGAAAAGTGTTTTTTAACAATAGCTATAAACATAAATTAGTAGACCTCTGAGCTTAATAGGAATGACTCTTTTCCTAATATGAACCCTCTTTTTACTACCAAAAAAATTATTAATAATAAAGTCAACAAAGTCCTGTTTTTCACATGGCACAATATATCACCTCATAAGTTTATATAAACGCGCGCACGCGCGCACACAGACACATACACACACACACACACACACACACACACACACACATACTGGTACAGGCTGCCCTAAAAAGACAATCAGGCAGTCATTAATTATAAATATATATGTGAATTATATACATATTTATAATAAGTAAATAAATATAAACATAAAAATATATGTGAATTAAAGAAGTGAATGGTCCACGTATATTTTTTATAAGCAAAGAAATAAATGATGTAGTGAGGAAAGAAAAGGAATGCTGTAGAATTTAGTGTATTTTTCTTCAAATTGGCCAGGGAAAAGTTTGTTTAAAGAATGAAACTGCAATTGTCAAAAAAGTGAGAATTAGAAGTAATTTTAAAAGATTTATTCCAGGCACAATGTGAAGCCTGGAAAGATAAACCATGGTAGATATATGTTTAGTTGATAAACTTCAGTTTCCTGAGAAGACAGTGAATTTATCTGAGTAGTATGAAAAGAAGGAAATAATGAGGACTTTAGAAAGGAACGAGTCTTCATTCTATTCTTATTTCTAAGTCTTTAGGTGTTTCTTTTAAGGATATATTTGAAAATTAAAAGGATTTTAAACCTGGTTGTTTTGAAGTCTCTCAGAGCTGTAGAGATGTATTCAGATAAATGTTTTTCCATGAGTGCAACTCTGATCCAGGCTCTACCCTAAAAGGAAGAAGAAAGAATCAAACATGTGGAAAAAAATTGAAATCAAAACATATTTTGCTTAATATAAGCATTTTAATATGTAAATATTATCAATTATCATCCAAAATATATATTTGATAAAGACTAAAAAATTTTAAGTAGATAATAGGTAAATTTTGATTATATATAGCATATATTTTATTTCTCTGAAGGTATAGGGTTAAGCATGTCAGATTAACTTCCTGTCCTCTGAAGAAACAGAACCATTGATACTGAGCTAGTTGGATTAGAGACTTTTTTTGAATCAAAGAATGTAATCAGAAGACTTATGTTCTATTTCTATACCCAAATCAACATGCTAAGTAAAATGATTCCCCTTAAAAAACAAGAGGAACAGAGTGCATTCTCTTTAATAAAAAACACTTTCATTCAACTTGTTTAAGAAAATTTCTCACCTATCTTTCCAGAGGGAGGGTTTAGACAACTAATAATGAACCAAATTTCATTATCATGCATCCTAATCTTGAGTTTCTGAATTTGGTACCACCATAACATTATAAAAACCTGTTACCAAATTTTTAGACCAGGAAGAACAATCACACAACAAAAATATCCCAGAAGCATATTCTAGCACAAAATCACAGAAACAGACAATTCTGACTAAATGTGATCATTTATTTTTACTTAGAAAAGGGATAACATCATTCAATAGTTGGGACTGACCAATTAATTGTTTTATAATCCAAAGAGATTATAAAAAAAAAGATTGCATTTGTAGTGAGAACTTTAAAATTCAATTACTTTCATTTTTACTGAACCTTTTCACAAATCTCCAGAAAGTCCAAAAAGATCAACTATGTAGAAAATCAAAACAGTGCAATGACAGCTGAGAATCAAGATGACACTGATCAATATATATTATGGTTGACTACCAGTATGGAGGTAGGGGAGCATTCTTTAGAAATGACTCCAACTCTGGTAAATTCACCAGGCTCTTAGATAGGAGGGATAAAAAAGGAGTCAAATCTAGACAGTGATGAAACAGGCTTGGAGCAGCAGTGTTGTCCAAGCTCAAAACCCTTTTAGCTCCGCCCAGGGCTCACTCCCTTGTTCTTGCTGAGTAAGCCTAGGGGAACCTACACTTCACTGTAGCTGGATGGAATAGTAGAAGGAAGAGGCAAACCACTGGCTAGCAGTCTCAAGATTCTTAAAATTTCATTTAAAAGACATGGAGACTAGTAGTGGTAGCTTGAGTCAAAAGGCCAGAATTTCACCAAAACAGAAGCAAGGAAAAGTTGCTAGATAAGAAATGTGGGGAAAGTCCTGCTTCCTCATTTATTAATTTCAATCCATACAAAACTGGGCCAAACCTAGTTTCCAGTTCTTGGATGTTTGTGGAATTCTGTTATTGTGATAATAAATTGTGATAATTTTTAAAGTATTTTTTTATTGATTTACTAGAGGCCCAGTGCATGAAATTCGTGCTCGGGGGTGTGTGTCCCTCAGCCCAGCCTTCACCCTTTCCAATCTGGGACATCCCTCTCACAATCCAGGACTGCTGGCTCCCAACCGCTCGCCTGCCTGCCTGCCTGATTGCCCTGAACTGCTTCCGCCTACAGCCTGATCACCCCCTAACCACTCCCCTGCCAGCCTGATCGACGCCTAACTGCTCCCCTGCTGGCCCGATTGCCCCTAACTGCCCTCCCCTGCTGGCCTGGTCCCTCCCAACTGTCCTCGCCTACAGGCCTGGTCTCCCCTAACTGCCCTCCGCTGCAGGCCTGATCGCCCCCAACAGCCCTCCCTTGCAGGCCTGATCACCCACAACTGCCCTTCCCTGCTGGCCATCTTTGACCACATGGGGGCGACCATCTTGTGTGTTGGAGTGATGGTCAATTTGCATATTGCCTCTTTATTATATAGGCTAGAGAAAGGAGGAAGGGAGAGAGAAAAACACTGATGTGAGAGCAAAACATCAATTAGCTGCCTCCTGCAGGCCCCCTACCGAGGATCGAGCCTGCAACCTGGGCATGTACTCCAAAAGGAAATTGAACCAACAACCTTTTGGTGCATGGGATGACACCCAACCAACTGAGCCACACCGGCTAGGGCTAAATTGTGATGATGTTTAACAGTTTCTTTTCTTTCAACAAAAGAATTTTTACTAGTACAGAAGATAAACAGACCATTTATAAAAGTTTGGGGGCCATGGAATGAGAAAGTAGGTTTAACATTTCAGACTTTTCCAGTTAGATAATGGTGAACCATGAAGGTTGTTGTTGTTTTTTCCCAGAGACACAAATATTAATTTGTTTGTCACTAAAGTTCTTTGGGGAAAAAAGTTAAAAGTAGTCAACACTTCGTGTGTGTGTGTGTGTGTGTGTGTGTGTGTATGTGTGTGTGTGTAAAAGGTGAAAGAGTTAAGAAGCATAAATTGGTAACTACAAAATAGTCATGGGTGTAATGTATAGCATAAGAAATATAGTCAATAACACAATAATATGTATGGTGCCAGATGGGTGTATGGTGCTAGAATTATCAGGGTGATCCCTTCACAAGTTATATAAATCACTGAGTTGTACAGCTGAAACTAATAAAATACTGTATCTGTAAAAAAAAAAAAAAAGCAAGGAAGGAAGTCCCATGGTCCTGGGAAAACTGATGGCTGATTACTATAATATAAACGAAAGGAGTAAAGATGCTGGATCAAAGAGTATGTATATCTTTAACGTTAGTAGATAAGGCCAAATCATTTTTCCAACTTGCTTTCTACAAATTTACAGATAATAGGGTTCAGAACATGCTACCTCAAAATGTGGATCTTAAGGTGAAAAAGTTTGAGGTCACTCTGATCTACCTTGCCCCCATCCTTTTTCCCTCAAAGCAAGAGATAAATCTCCCAGGTGAAAGGTAACTTCCCTGTGCCAGGGGAAGGGAGGCCTCCTCATCACCAGTCAGAGAGGGCTGCATAAACAAACCTTGTTACTTCTTCACCATTTACCACCCTTAGCCCAAATCCCTCTGCCTTGCAAATTCTTCACAAATGTATGTTTCTTTGTCTAAAAGGTATACAAAGCTTCCTGCTCTGGTCACTTCTTTGAGACTCCTATTTTTGTAGGGCAGTAAACACTTAGGAATGTAACAATATACTAGTATGTTTGGCTCTTTTTATGTGTGTGTTTTTAAATGCATATTTCTTATTAATTTCAAAGAGGAAGGGGAAGGGAGAGAAAGATAGAAACATCCATGATGAGAGAGAATTATTAATTGGCTGCTTCCTGCAGGCTTCCCACTGGGGATCAAGCTTGCAACCCAGGCAGTGCCCTGACCGGGAATCAAACTGTGACCTCCTGGTTCATAGGTTGACGCTCAACCACTAAGCCACTGCCATTTGGCTCTGCTTTAAGAGCTTTAGCTACACATTAAAATATTTAATCCTCTCAAGAACTGTGAGTTGGGTTACAATACATTCCATACTTTACTACATGAGGAAAAAAACACAGACACCACTAGAAAACAGGAAACTCCTCTCACAACCACCAAACCGACCAACCAAACTGAATTAATACCCATATACTCTACCTTTCTTCCTATTTCAGGGAATGAACTGTAATCATTTAAGAAAGTAAAAGGACAAATCACAGAGCAAAGATATTTGAATTACATGTAAAAGACAGTAAGGCTCTCATTCACAAAATACAAGTAAGTCTTACAAATCCATAAGAAAAAGAACACTCAATTTAAAAATGGGCCTGCTAGGGAAAGATTTTTAACTACAGATTTAATTTCTTTAATAGGTATCAGAATATTCAGATATTTTCTTTCTCTTAGTTTTGTAAGTGATATTTTTTCAAAGAATTTGCCCATTTCCCCTACATTTTCAAATGGATAGGTGTGAAGTTATTCATAATATTTTTCTTTAGGATTTTTAATGTAGGGAGGGTCTCTGGGGTTGGGCTCTTCTTCATTCCTGATACTGATCATTTACAATCTCTATTTTCTTCTTTAATAGTCTTGCTAGAAGCTTATCAATTGTATTAATCTTTTAAAAAACACCAACTTTAGGCTTTGTTGATTTTCTTCTGGTGTACATTTGTTTCAATTTAACTGAATTTTCGCTCTTCATTATTTCTTGCCTTCTACCTTGAGTTTATTACTTTTTAAAAATAGTTTCTTGAGATGAAAGTTTTGATCACTAATTTTCAGCCTTTATTCTTTTGCTTAATAATGCATAAGCCTATTTAAGCATACCTATTTTCCTTTAAGTACAAATTTTTATGTGTTGTATTTTAATTATATTACTTTCCAAACCTTTATTGTGGCTCTTGGGAGAAGAGTTCCTCTGATACAAGCTATTCTGCTTTCAATGGAAGAAGAAACTGATTCATTTCTTACCTCCATGATCATCTTTTTAGACTCCAACCCCTTCTGACTTTACTCTCTGCCCCTACCCTCCTTTCTATACATTCTTCATGCTGTAACCACTTGATCATTTAAAATGTAACCAGATTATATTACTCTATTGCTTTTTTTTAAAAAAGTAAAAAAAGAAACACTCAAGTAGCTCCCCAGTGTATTGAGAATTATATCTAAACTCTTAATCATGACCATATCTTCTATTCTATACCTTTCTCAGCTTACTATTTACACAGCACATTTCTTTCCATAATTTACATCCTGACTCAACTACTGCTTCACAGAATCCTTCCTGATCTCTTCCACCACTTCTATCACTTTCTAACTTCCCCTGAGATAGTATGTATATATTTATTTGTTTACTGTATTACTAAAATGGAATGTGTGTGTAACGTTTGCTCTTTGCCATCTTTTTCACCACTGCCACTCTATCCTCAACATTTACAACGGTTTCTGGCACACAGGAGGTATTCAGTATATACTTATTAAATAAGTGAATCAAACTAAAGAGATAAATAACTTGCTCATAGCTACTAGGCATTGGAGCTACCAGTTAGAAGTGGAGAAAAGGAATGATAAGAAGAATACAGTATTTTAGAAAGAGTCATACGAAGTTAAAATGGATAGAGTGTCAAACAAATGGGCAGAATCAGAGTACGTCTGTTTTCTACTGGGAAACCTTCTATTTTTAAAGCTCCCCAAGTATTTCTGACAGTATTCCAGATTTGAGGCCATCACAATAAAGAACTGTCAAGTGGTGGTTTAAAAGGGAGATAGATTTGTGAGTCAGTAAAAGAAAAATGATCATAAAACCGGCCTCTTTGCAATATTGCCTCTTACTGTAAAGTTACGGTATTTGATAACTCTGGTGTATCTGATTAATGCCCCCTCTGCCTCTGTCAGGAGAACATTTGGCTAATCTGCCTCTGGGACAGAGCAGTGACCAGCCAGCTTCTGAGCAGATAGGAACTATGGCTAAGCTAAGATGCAGTTATATTTCTAACACTACTAATTCTAGTCTGAAACCTAAAAAATTCATGTATAGAAATAGTATGCTCCAGAATCCCTGCATACTGTAGAAAAAAACAGATGCAAATATACCTGATATGGAAAATATAGACATGATCTTCAATTCAAATAATTTATTCCATTGTTAGGCTATGTGTAGGCCCTAGAAAATAGGTCCAACAAGTCACAGACTAAGCGAAGAACGGGAAAGGTCGGCATTTCATAGATTTTAGCTTAGAGTGACAAGGTGTCAGGTCTCCCAGGGTGGCAAGTTACTACAATGTGACTCTAAATCGTACAGTGGTACTAGGACACGGACAATCCGGATTCAATCAACTCAACCACATTTAAAGAATGTTTCTGTTTCCCCATTAAATGGAATCTGTTTGAGGTCTGGTCAAAACAAAGGCATAAATGCAGGATTTGGAACATGATTGTTCTGTGGTGTTTTGATACTCAACACCATTTTTGGTGTTTTGTGTGTTTCTTTACAGAATAAATATTAACGTTCTCCGCTGAGAGGTGGTGAGCTAGGGTTTGGGTTTCCTTGGTCCACCCATGTCCAAATGTGGCATTTCTAATGTTTGTTAACTTTTCAATTACCTTTTGTACTTTGAGGCCTGCTAATTCTATAAATATATTCTCTTCTGTATTCAAAGAGTTTAGAATACACTTGTCATGTTAATCTTTCCTACTTTTAGTTTGAAAATAAGAAAATAAAGTTTATGTAGCACCTAGGTTACTTTCAATTTTCATAGACTTGATCTATTCAAATTACAGCTAGTCTTTTAATCTTAACCTACAGAAACCAAGGTATTACTCTTAAACCATAAAGAAAACTAATACAAACTCAATTAAAATGCAAAGGAGAATTCAAATTGTACATTTTAAAACCTATAAACAGATAATTAGAAAGTAAATAAATGAATAAATTTAATAGTTCAAAAAAATGACGGCCAAAGGACTAAGCAGACAATAATTGTGACTAAAAAGAAACTTGTTAATACAAGATAAAACATCTATGAGAAAAAGGTTTTAATTTAAAAATATAGTTATAACTGACTTTAAAAAGAAGATATTTATTGACCTAAAAAATATCTGAGGCAGGAGAAACTGATTCAATATAAAAGAGTTCGAAGACACTGAAGCAGAAAGTTAACTGTTGCTCAGACAACCCCCGACTGGAGACTGGCAGGAGGCTGTGCAGCAGGAAGCAGTGCTTTTAGAAACATCTTCAAAAGTGACAAAACCATAGCCATTAACTTTACCCAACAATACACTCCCATATTATGAAATTTTAAGCTGTTTAACTATGTTTCTAATTATGTCACTGAATTTAAATATTATAAATCTTGTTTTTAAAAATATTCAGTTCATATTTTACAAACATGTTTTAATTCCAATATGTATCAGTCAATTTTGTGAACCAAAACTTTTCCAAAAAAAAAAAAAAGAATTCCTAAATAAAAATGGATACAGGAAAAATAAATTTGGAAACTACACATTTGAAAGATGATTGTTATGTGTTTTTTTTTATTATACAGACATGTAATTTGTAAGTTTATAATTATGAAATAATGACCTGAATTATATCTTGATCTTAAAACCTTACATATCTATATTCAACCTTTATTTTCTACTTAGTTTCATTCTGTAATTATTAAGTGTCAAAAATAGAAAGGAGCCCTAGCCGGTTTGGCTCAGTGGACAGAATGTCAGCCTGTGGACTAAAAGGTTCCGGGTGCGATTCCGGTCAAGGACACGGATCTCAGTTGCAGGCTCCTACCAGGCCCTGGTCGGGGCATGTGCAGGAGGCAACCAATCAATGTGTTTCTCTCACATCAATATTTCTCTCTGTTTTTCCCTTTCTCTTCTAATCTCTCTTTAAAAAATCAATGGAAAAATATCCTAGGGTAAGGTTTAAAAATATATATTCAGAAAGGAAAGCTACTATGGCCAATCCAATTTTAAAAAATCAACTCCTAAACTGAAGCTGATATAGTTTATATCAGCAGCTCTGACATTTTACAATCTTAAACATTATTGAGGACTCCAAAGAGTCTTTATATCGGTTGTACCGATTAATATTTACTATATGACAAGCACAAACTATAAACTTTTAAATTTTTAATTAAAAAATAAACCCATTCTATGTTAATTTTAAATAAAATTTTTGTGAAAAATTATCTTTTCCTAAACAAAAATATTAGTGAGAAAAGTGGCTGTTTTCACATTTTTCCTTAATGCATGGTGTAATAAAAGAGAACTACATATCTGCTTCGCATTCAATCTGTTACAATGTACTCAAAGGTTGAGATTTAATAAAATTAATAATGTTTACTGTATTGTCCTGGACATTTTTAAGTAACTGTGGGGTGTTTTATTTGTGTGTGTGTGTGTGTGTGTGTGTGTGTGTGTGTGTGTGTGTGTTTGTTTTTTTTAAGACTGAGCTGATGGTGGGGGAGAACTCAATGATAACTAATAATAGTTTGATACCATTGTCTTAATTTGTGCTCAGGCACCAGCAATTTTACCCACCATTGCTTCTGCACCAGCGATGAGAATATCAACACAGTGCAAAAGGCAAATAACATTTTGCTATTACATGAAAAATAGTTTTGACATTTTGGACCCCCAGGGTTCTGCTGGACACTGAGAGTCACTGGGTTAGGTAATTCAATAAATATAGAAAATTCACAAAATAGGACACATTTCATTGTTCTCAGTAGTGACTGGCTTCATACCTTCTTGCTATTCATAAAGCAACAGTAAAGATTCAAGAGCATTCTAAAATAACGAAATATAATAAAAAAGGAAACAAGCCTCTGAAAGATATTAAATTTGATCAAGTGCTTAATTCCAACAAAGAAAATAAATGTTTTATAGCAAAGAGCTTGAACTTTTCTAATTGGGTCAAGACTGCTTCGGATTATATACATTGCAGGTCATTTCTGTCTTACCTTAGCTCTAGAGGAACTGACATTTTCCATATTTTCAATGCTGCAGATACAATTCTGTGAAACTTTCCGGCAAGCCACTCTGATATAGTCCCAGAAGCTACGAGGACTTTCATAACCAAACCAGGTTACTTGACCTTCAGGAGACAAATTGCAATACAAAATAAAAGAAAACTAGACTAGAAAATTCAACATGCAAGAACAATAAAACGCTGAAAATTAAAAGGCAGTGTGGTGTGCTATAATGGAAAGGACACTGATATCAATGTTAATCAGCCTGAAATCTAGTCCTGGTCTACCTTTACCTAGTTGTGTCACCTTGGGAAATTTATTTAATGAACCTCAATCACAGTTTTTCAACAGTGAATTCAAACTAAATGAAGTAAAAAGAGTCTATACACTAAAAAACATACTGCAGCTTAATGTCCTATTATTCTAATATAGGCTTTTATATATCACATGGATAATTTTCCTAGTGGTTCTAGTTAAGCATTAATTTAAATGTCACTAGTTGTATTCTAAAGCTTTCTCTGCTCAGAAAAACAAAAAAGTAAAAAATATAACCTTTTTTCTTCTCGTATGTAGATACTTCAAAGAAATGAAATAAATGTGTGTGGTCAGAACTATAAGTAAATATAATCAATTAGGATCCTATATTGACTAATCATTCATAATCTTGTACTCACCCATTCTCATCTATAAAGCCACAAAGTTCCCTGTAACTATCATTCATCTGCTCTCTTCTAGTCACCAACCCGGGAAAAGTCCTTCAGGAATTTACCATTCAGATTTAAGCAATTATGTGTCTGTTGATGAACAAATATTCTTTTCTGTGTATCATAATATTGCTATTTTTATGCAGGACTTTGAATAGCAGATCCATGGGAACCATTTTGCACTCTTAGTATTTTAATATGAGAGACAGCTTAATACTTTATTCAATTAATCTTACCTGGGTAAGTTGTTTAATCTTAATGTAGAAATATTAGCTTTTATATTTTTAAATCTGTACTTCTCTGTTTCAATTAATTTTTTTTATCCCAAACCTTCCCTTCCCCAGTAATAGCTTCTCTCTAAGCAACATCCAAGTGTTGTCAGCAAGCGCCATTTTCGGAGCCATGTCTGAAATGATATGTGATTTCCAACCATGGCAGCCCTTAAAAACACCTGGGATTCTTTTTAAACATACTCATGCCTGGGCTCCCCCAAAACTAAATAATCAGAATCTTTAGGGGCAGGTCTAGGCATTGGTATTTTTAAAAGTCCCCCCCCCACCCCGCTGATATTTCTAATAATATACTTATGGTTCTTCAATGAATAGAAAGCCTATATATTGCAATAGGTAACTCCTATCATCTTTCAGGACATTTTAAAGGCCTCCTGTTCTTATAAGCCAGTGGTTCTCAACCTTCCTAATGCCGCGACCCTTTAATACAGTTCCTCATGTTGTGGTGACCCCCAACCATAAAATTATTTTCGTTGCTACTTCATAACTGTAATTTTGCTACTGTTATGAATCATAATGTAAATATCTGATATGCAGGATGTATTTTCATTGTTACAAATTGAACATAATTAAAGCATAGTGATTAATCACAAAAACAACATGTAATTATATATGTGTTTTCCGATGGTCTTAGGCGACCCCTGTGAAAGGATCGTTCGACCCCCAAAGGGGTCGCGACCCACAGGTTGAGAACCGCTGTTATAAGCCCTGTGTGATCTCTATGGTGATTCAGCCCCTCCCTATGTGCTGGCATGGCACCCTTTGCTTACTTATCCTTATAACTACCTGTTCACTTGATTGTCTCACATATTAGGTGGTAAAACTGCTCAGGCAGGGATTGTGTCTTACTTTTCTTTAAACAGATCTCTAGCACTTGACACAGTGCTTGGATCATAGTAAGCATTCAATAAACATTTATTAAACAATGCAACTGGTAAATCAGCACAAAACAGATCATCTTAATTGCAATGCTATATAAAAATTTGAATTTTAAAAATCTGAATTAGTATCTTTTTAAAGTAACAGTTCAATGACAAACTGGTATCAAGAGGTCTCCATGCTAGATTACAAATACTAAATATTCTAAAATATATTTATATATATAAATAAGACACAAAAGCATCTACAAATACTCAAATATATAACTCAAATGTCTCTTTAAAAATCAAATATTACTACCAACAAACAGAAATCTTTAAGAATACTGTATTTACAATATCTGTTCTTCCTCTCAATCTCTCCCCATTACTGTCCTTTGCTTCTTCTTTTCTTTAGTTAAAAAAGTTCCTAGAACAGTATCTCAATATAGTTGGTCTTTAAGGCAATTTTCATGTCAGCAACTTGTTAGCCATTTGGAGAGGAAGCAGGGTGCCTTGTGGTTAGGAATATGGGTTTTGAGTCAAATCACTTTCTAGCTATGCGATCTTGAGCAAATGACTTCACTGTATAAGTCTTTCTTCTATAAATTAACAATAGCTGTAGTACCGATGTGGTAACACTTGGAGATTAGATGAGATAATGTGGGTACAGCAATCAGTATACAGTACAGTACAGATGTTAACAATTACTGCTACTATGATTACTACTATCAAATAGTTAAGGGACCAAAGCTCCTCTTCCACCACAAAGTGGGAATGAGATGTAAAATTAAAAGTTTTTCCCATTGCTTAGAATCTAAAAAAATCTTTAAAATTTTTTCCCTAGTCCAACCTTTTCTCATATCAACCTTTCTGATTTTGCCTCCCTAAAATGTCTAATCTCAAGTAATTGTCTTTACCTTAATTGAGTGGGATCACCCCATAATTTTAGAAAGGGAGGTGTAGCTGCCAGTCCTCCCTCAAGAAACAGAATAGTAAACAATGGCAGGGATCCTAAAAAAGGGAGAATCTCAAGGTTTCTCTAATGACTTTATTTTAAACCTCATGTGTCTGACATGGCCAAGGAAAAATAGGAATAGTAGAGGTGTCAAAACCAAAAGAATATAACAAAGTCCTATTTTTAGAGGAGAGAAAAGAAAATAAAGAAAAATTTAAAAATCTGGAATTAGGTTAAACAGAGAAAGAATGGGCACTAAATCCTTAGGACTCTTGCTGTGGGTAGGATATGCGATCTACAGAACTTTACCCAAGACATGACAAGATTTCCAAGATTGCAAATTAAGAAACTAAACAATTAATAGAATTACATATTAGCATAACTTGCAGGGTTTTAAAAAACTAGTATCTTCATAATACTCTGTCTACTCAACCAACTAGATGTGAGGAGGATTTGGCTTGATTCTGCCTTCTCCCCTCTTCCATGTGCATCATTTCCAATGTGAAGTCCTTACATCAAGACACTGAATTGTTGTCCACATTCAAAAGATCAGCTTTGATTAGGAGAAGGTGGATTCCCTTGTTAGAATCACTAAACAAACTCTCATGTAAATTGTCTGTATGTGCTAGAATTTTATTTAAGTAATTAAATAATTTCTGCATCCATGAAAAGGGTTGAATTTGGTTTAAAATAATTTAGAATTGTTTGCCCTGGCCAGTGTAGCTCAGTTCGTCGGGCGTCTTCCTGTGCACTGAAAGGTTGCTGGTTTGATTCTTGGTCATGTCCAGGTTATAGGCTTGATCCCCAGTAGAGGGAGTGCAGGAGACAGTTGATGTTTCAGTCTCACATCAACATTTCTCTCTCTTAAAAAAAATCAATTAAAAAATTTAAAAATAATAGAAGTATTTATTTGGTTATTTGAAATATTATTACTTGAACATCACTCTTACTTAAACAGATTAACTGCTAGCAAAAGACTGTACTTAGTCTGTAACCAGTATTCAACAGGAATATTAAAACAAAACAAAGCACTACAATCTGATTGTGCCTTTAAAAACCACAGAAGTAATAAATAATCATTTCCAAGATATTCCATTTCCTTTAAAAATAACCAGAAAAGCAAATCACTTTACAAGACACTAACCTGTATCTCAAATAAATTTATTCCAGAGAAGAAATATGCTGCCATTAAAAATTCTCTTTTTAAAGCTCTGATGAGTATAGATGTATAATATGCTTTCAATTATATATATTCTTAGAAGTTGACTTTTTACCAATGACAAAGTTAAACAAGCTTTTGACATTTACTTCCATTCCATTAATCCAACTCTAATTTGTTTCATGCACAGAAATAAGTGGTGAAAAGTTTGCTAGACTAAAAGGTGAACTGCTACTAACAAGCTATGTAATATCTTTCCCACTAAACTGCCTCATTTCTGCACCTAAAAATAGTATGTAATTTTTAGAATCCATTATTATTCTAAAATTACTCTTCTCCATTAGTTAAGTCAAATGCTTATTCACTTCATGCAATATGTTTGTGTTTGGCTTATAAGTGTTTCTTTAATGAAGTAGTGCTTAATGGCATATAATCTTTCGATAATATAAAAATAAATGAATATGTTAAGTGACTCCCTTTCTCCAGTCTTTATTAATGCTTAACTACGAATGGAAAACTGTTCTCACAAGGTGAAGTTCTGTCAGCATTATAATACATCACCTAGATGATAATATCAGACTATTGCCTTGTAGCTACTATTCATATAGACAAGTAATAAAAACAGTCACATAGAATCTTAATAAATCACTTTGATATCACTGCAAATGTTTTCAGATGCTTAAAGGAAATTGATTACTTGTGGATTTATTTTTGGCAATATATTAATATTTAGATATTAAACTTTTCACTTTAAATTTTGTAACAACAGCCCTAAGTTTCATATTGCTATCTTATAAAATCAGTTTGATATTTTCCACTACCTTTTTACTAAACAGAGAAAATTCCCATTTCTGTAAGAGGTTAGAATCTTTTCCTTTTACAAAAGGTAGTGGAACCCTGGCCAGTGTGCTCAGTGGATAGAGCATCATCCTGGCCTGTGCACTGAGTCTCGGGTTGGATTCCCAGTCAAGGGCACATACCTTGGTTGCAGGTTTGATCCCTGGCCCCAGTTGGGCGTGTGTGGGAGGCAACAAATCAATGTGTATCTTTCACATTGCTGTTTCTCTCTCTCTCAATGACAAGATTAATTGGTATCACTTCATAATATATCCTCTGGTGAGGATTAACAAAATAAATAAATAAAGTAGCATTATTAGTTGAGATTCATATTTATTAGACCATTCATCCAGCTTTGAAGATAAAATTATGATCTTGAATAATATTCTACATAAAATATGTTAATGTTCTAAAAAAGATAAAGTTAAAAACTTTAAAAATAACTTTAAACTTTATACTGAATCTTAAGAAGAAGTCTGAGTCTTGACTAGGTAATTATATTTATATTACTAGTTCTGTATGTTACTTACGGGATGCTTCAGGAAATCATTTAGCAAATATGAGTCAGTTACTAATCTATAAAATGTAATTATCATCCCTTATTGCAACAATTAATGTCTTGTTCATTGCTAAGAAATTTATCACAGATGCCTAAAACAAATGTCTAAAGTATGTACCTATACAATAAAAGTGAGTCAAATATTAATCTTCCAAAACCAAAAATTAAGATAACAAGTTCACCTGAAAATCTGAAAACTGAATTTGACTTAATAGGTTTACTTATCCCAGTAATTTGACCATCTTTCCAAGTAGAATACAAGAGTTTTGTGTGTTTTTTTCTTCCACCAGCTTTTTTAATATAAGGTTTAGAATACTGGCAGATTTAATTAAAGTACCAACGGCTGAGGTCCATACAGAGAGCTATGTAGAAACGTGTAGACCTAGCCCTAGCCACTTTGGCTCAGTGGACAGAGCGTCGGCCTGAAGGATCTCAGGTTCAATTCCAGTCAAGGGAACATACCTCGGCTGCAGCCTCGACACGCGTCATGACTCGTTTGGGAGGCAACCAATCACTGTGTCTCTCTCACATCAATGTGTCTCTCTCTCTGTCTCTGCCCTTCCCTTCCACTCTCTCTAAAAATCAATGGAAAAATATCCTCAGGTGAGGATTAACACACACAAAAAGTGCAGACCTAAAGAAATCAAGCATAATTTATTTCAATAGTGATTAAGGCTACATATACATAGGGAACATAAAAGAAATTTTTTAAAAGTATTATTTGTGGGAATTAGGATTGAGGAAATGAGAAGATATTTCTCTTCTACATTCTATTCTTTATCTTAGTATTATCTTTGAAACACTAGAAGATTTATTTTCTAATTAAAACATATAGTAAAAGGCTAGGTCATAAGTGCAGAGGCCCAGCAGTGTGTTTTGCACACAGCAGGAACTCAATAGAAGTATTTTGACTAAACGAATAAGAAGTATGCATTCTACCTGGGAGAACAGAAACTAAGGAATACAGTCCCACTAATGGTTAAAGAATGGCAAAGCAGTTATTGTGGATAGTGCCCGTGTATGCTTTACTGAGTGATTTCTGAAAATTCACACAGCTTCCCTGAGGCCCTGGTTCGCATGTAATACAAATATTATTACACAGCACTTACAAAATTGAGGAAACAACCAATAAATCATATATCATTAAGCATTCTAATAAAATATAAATAACACAGATATACATACTTGGTTAATAAAATAGTACTTAAAACCATGGAGTTTAAGAGAAATACAGAGGGGAGTCACATGGAGACGAAGGAGAGTAAATGAATTACTATATTGTGTGAGTTTACAACAAGCTATTACTTAAGAAATTAGCATAAGCATACTTGTGCCCTCTAAATTAACAAAAACAAAAACAGAAAGCTTTGCAAAACCCATGCAATGTACTAAAAAAGATCACTTAACTGATACAGCCCTCCCCAGTAAGTCAATTCCATGCTCCCGCGCAGCTCAGTGGCGGGAGACATCACCAGCATAGAGTACCTTGAAGAGGTATTTGGAGATGAGCCAGCCATCTGCAACTTTGGGAAATCTCTTTAAAAAAAATAAACAACAACAACAACACACAGATATTTAAGAAACCTGCCATCAAGTTTATAATTGCAAACTGAATAGCCCAAATTAGATGGCTACACATAATTCTGACACAGTAAACACTAAACTCAGGATGAATATGAGCTACACACTCAGCACATAAACGAAGCTGGTCCCTTGTAGCCTATTTTATTGGAGAGTTTAGGATTTATGTAAGTCATAGAAATAAGTGAGAAGCAATTGTTCTTTTTACCTCCCCAAGTGCAATAAACGGGTGATGACAGAATGCAAAATGAGCAACAGCTTGGCTGAATTGGCTAGATTTGCACCTCAGAATTTATGTTGGGTTAGGAAAATTACTTCTTGAACTGCTTATGTCTCAAAGTGTTTAACTTTAAAACTAAACAATTTTTACTGTTAACTTTTCTAAAAGTTATAATCAAATTCATTTTGAAGAGCAGTTCTCTTATTTTTGGCCTAAGAAGAGTTAAAATCTGTATGGTTCTGAATTATGAGAAGAGCACTTAGCTATCTGGTAAAATGTTCTTCAGTTTAACCAACGTCGACTGAATGATTACTTAATGCAAAATACTGTTTTATTTCCTACAGCAGCTTTCAATTATTGTTTAACAATCACCATCTGGAAAAGTTACTATAAATTCTGACTATGTTATTTGGAAATTCCTCTTATAATTATACAGGAAAACTCCAAAGCCAAATAATATTTTCTTCTCTCATAACCTAACAATGCAATCTCCAATAGGACATGGTGTGGACCTTTCTAAATACTCAGACCCTTTACGAAACCAAACAAAAACCAAACACAGTGAGTAATGTTGTATGAAAATGAACGGAAAAAGATATATACAGTTGTATTGTTTGCTACATCCATGTCTCTACCTTCCTCCTACCTTCATTTGTAACATCATAAAGAAATACTGAATTTTCAAACATATCCAAAAGGATCTATAAATTGGTACCCTCATTGAAGCCCCATAGGAGGACATACTGTTCTTGCTACAACTACAACAAACAAAAATGAAAATTTCTCAGCACTAAAATGTAAATCAGAACAGAATGCTTTTCATTCTGTTATATGATTAACCATGTGATTTCACTATTAACCATATGATTTCACTAATATGTGGGATATAAAACTGAAATTAGTGAACACAAACTGCAGTATGGTGATTGCCAGGGGAAGGGGGCAGGGGTGGGAGGGTAAAGAGGGCCTAATATATGGTGACGGAAGATGATTTGACTTTGGGTGGTGGGCACACAGTGCAATATACAGATCTTGTAACATAGAAACCCACACCTGAAAACTAAATGATCATATTAACTAATGTCACCCCAGTAAATTTAATTAAAAAAATTAATAAATCAAAAATTAGGCTATGGAGAAACACCAATCAGAAAGGATATATGCACCCCTATGTTCATAGCAGCACAATTCACCATAGCTAAGATCTGGAAACAGCCTAAGTGCCCATCAGCAGATGAATGGATTAGAAAACTGTGGTACATCTACACAACGGAATACTATGCTGCTGTAAGAAAGAAGGAACTCTTACCATTTGCAACAGCATGGATGGAACTGGAGAGAGCATTATGCTAAGTGAAATAAGACAGTCAATGAAATAAAAATACCACATGATCTCACTCATTTATGGATAATAAAGACCATTATAAACTGATGAACAAAAATAGGTACAGAGGCAGAGCAGCATCAAACAGACTGTCAAACTACAGCATGAAGGCCAGGGAGGGTTGGGGGGAAGAGGGGTAAGAGATCATCCGAAGGACTTGTATGCATGCATATAAGCATAACCAATGAACACAAGACACTGGGGGGTAGGGGAGGCTGGGGGAAGGTCAAGGGGGGGAAAAGGAGACATATGTAATACTCTTTGTAATACTTTAAGCAATAAAACAAAATTTTTAAAAAAATAAAATAAAAACAAATGTCAAAAAAATTAGGCTATGGAAAAAAATAAACACCAATTGTTAATGTTTAAACCACATTTACTTTACTATCACTGCCTTGAAAATAAAGTTATGTATCTTATTTGTAGTCATTTACATAATCAAAAAGTAATAAAAGTAAAAATGATTTCAGGAAAATGTTACTGAAAAAAATAAACTTCAAAAAATGTATCAAATGAGATATATCATAATGAGATTTATGTCATGATTTAATCAACCGCTAATATAAAGTGGGAAATAATTACTGAATCTATTATTAAACTCAATTTATAGATTAGGATTATTTTTCCTTTTTATTGAATTTATTTAGGTGACAATGGTTAACAAAAATTATACAAGTTTCAGGTGCACATTCTACAACACATCATCTATACACTGTATTGTGTTCACTTCACCAAGTCAAGTCTACATCCATCACCATTTACCCCCCTATAACCTCCTCCTTCTCTCCCCGTCCCTCAGAAATCACCACACTGTTGTCCATGCCCATGATTTTTTTTCTTTTTGCTCAATCCCCCCGTGACGGCTATCAGCCTGCTCTCTATAAGTCTTCCTCTATTTTGCTTGTTAGTTCACTTTATCCATTAGATTACACGAGTGAAATTATACGGTACTTGTCTTTCTCTGATTGGCTTATTTCACTTAGTATAATGCTCTGCAGGCCATTCATGCTGTTGCAAAAGGTAATATTTCCTTCTTTTTTTACAGCCGAGTAGTATTCCAGTGTGTAAATGTACCACATCTTTTTAATCACTCTCTACTGATGGACACTTGGACTGCTTCCAAATCTTGGCTATTGTAAATAACGCTGCAATGAACATAGGGGTGCATATATTCCTCCAAATTGGTGTTTCGGGTTTCTTCATATAAATTCCCAGAAGTGGAATCACTGGGTCATAAGGCAGCTCCATTTTTAATTTTTTGAGGAAATTCCATACTGCTTTTCACAGTGGATGTACCAATCTACATTCCCACCAATAGTACATGAGAGTTCCCTTTTCTCCACATCCTCACCAACACTTGTTTTTGCTTTTTAAAATCTTTATTATTGAGAATATTACAGATGTCCCCCTTTTTTCCTCCCATTGCCCCCTCCACCTGGTTTCCACCCAGCCCCAGGCCTTCACTACCCTACTGCCTGTGCCCATAGGTAATGCATATCTACACTAATAAAAGAGAAACATGCAAATTGGTGTCACTCCGCTACCCTTCCCATTGGCTAATCAGGGCAATATGCAAATTAACTGCCAACCAAGATGGCAGCCGGCAGCCAGGCAGCTTGAAGCGAACATGAGGCTTGCTTGCTTCAGTGACGGAGGAATCCAACGTTCCCCGCCTGCCGCTGCCAGCCTCTGAGCTTGCAGTTTGAAACATTGTTACAAATATAGAAGCTAAACAAAACCCCAGAAACCTGCTTTCAGCTAGCCGGGATCTCAGAGCTGGAGTTGAAACAGTGTTTCGATTATGGAACCCAAACAAACCAGATACCTGCTTTCAGCAGCCGAGGCCTCAGAGCTGGAGCCAAGCCTCAGAGCTAAAGCTGGCCCAGAATAAAAAAAAAAAAAAAAAGGAGCGGTTGGGAGCTTCAGTCACCCACCAGCCTGAAAACAGCCCTCAGCCCCTCACCCAGACTGGCCAGGCACCCAGTGGGGACCCCCCACCTGAAGGGTGTGTGACCAGCTGCAAACAGCCATCATCCCCTCACCCAGGCTGGCCAGGCCCCCCAGTGGGGACCCCCACCCTGATCCAGGACCCCCTTCAGGGCAAACCAGCCGGCCCCCACCCGTGCCCCAGGCCTCTATCCTATATAGTAAAAGGGTAATATCCTCCAGCACCCGGGATCAGCGGAGCCGTGAGGCCTCCCGAACCCAGGATCAGCAGAGCCGCGAGGCCTCACGCCCCGGGATCAGTGGAGCCGTGAGGCCTCCTGGCACCAGGATCAGAGGAACAGCGAGGCCTCCCAGCACCAGGATCAGCAGAGCAGTTAGGCCTCACTGCCCCTGTGTCAAGCGGAGCCGCGAGGCCTCCCAGCACTGGGATCAGTGGAGCCGCGAGGCTCCTGGCCCCTGGAGCAGCGTGACAGGGGGCAGCGCCCAAACACCCTGATCGGCCTGCGGCTCTGTGTGTGACAGGGGGCGGGGCCACAACCTCCCTATCCGCCCTGCTCTGTTCGTGACAGGGGAAGGTGCCCCAACCCCCTGATCACCCTGCTCTGTGCCTGATAGGGGGGAGCTCCCCAACCCCTGATCGCCCTGCGGCTCTGTGTGTGACAGGGTGCGGCACCCCAACCCCCTGATCAGCCCTGCTCTGTGTGTGTCAGGGTGCGGCGCCCCAACCCCCCACCACGGGCCCTGCTCTGTGTGTGACGGGGTAGAGCCATAACCTCCCTATCGGCTATGCCCTGAGTGTGACAGGGGGCGGTCCCCAAACTCCCCTATCGGCCCTACTCTGTGAGTGACATGGGGGAGCTCCTCAACCCCCTGATCAGCTCTGCTCTGTGCATGACAGGGGGCGGTGCCCCAACCCCCCTGATGGGCCCTGCTCTGTGAGTGACAGGGGGTGGCGCCGCAACCTCCCCATCGACCTTGCCTTGAGTGTGACAGGGGGCGGTGCCCCAACCCCCCAATCGGCCCTATCCTGAGCGTGACTGAGGGTGGCATCGCAACCTCCCGATCCGCCCTGCTCTGTGCATGACAGGGGGCGGCGCCCTAACTCCCCAATCAGCCCTGCTCTGAGCCCGACCAGGGGCTGCACCTAGGGATTGGGCCTGCCCTCTGCCACCCAGGAGCAGGCCTAAGCCAGCAGGTCGTTATCTCCCGAGGGGTCCCAGACTGGGAGAGGGCACAGGCCGGGCTGAGGGACCCCCCTCCCCTCTGAGTGCACAAATTTTTGTGCACCGGGCCTCTAGTCTATATAATAAAAGGCCAGAGGCCGTAAGTGTCACGATCAGAATGACCACTCACTCGACCAGTTGCCATGAGGTGGCATTGACCACTTCTTGGTCCCAATCCCCC